CTCTTACTGAACTGAATGCCACCTGGCTAAAGACTTGAGGATAGGGTGTAGGGTTTTGAAAAACTATTTAAGTTAGCTATGTTTGCTTAGAAAAATAATTCCATTATTTTTTTAAAAAAACCATTTGACTGACAATTAATTATCTATAGACAATTAATATACTGTCAATAAACACTTCCCAAAGTTTTTGTTGGGTTCATTCAGTTCAGTAAGAGAAACATGTTTTAATCCATTGGTCTCTTTAACTGACAATTTATAATACTATAAGGTGGGTTTTCACTACATAACAGTGGTTTCATAGAATTTCTCTAAAATAGCTTGTTTTTATAAAGGAGAACTTTTCTAACTTTCAAATATTAAGAAGTTTCTGCTCACAAGTATGCACTCTTATGGTAAGGATACTTTCTAATTTATAAACAGGAACACACTTATTTTGATAGCAACTATGTTGTGTAATTGCATAATTATACTATAGCATAAATTCATATTCCAGGCCATTTCATTCGTCATAAAATTCCTTAGAGATTAGACTTAAGCAAGAAGATACCTATCTTTCATTTAGATAAATATTCAAAATTAATGCATTTATTAATGCCTAACCTTTTATTGCCCGTTCCTAATTTAAAATTCACTGTTTCTTTCTTACCATACTATACTTGTATCATACATCCAGTTCACATTTTAATGCTTTCCGTAACTCAAAATAAACCAACCTTTATTAACCATTAACTGATAAGCAAAACTTTAAGTATATTTTTGACCTTGAATGATGATTGACCCTTCAACAGATTTCAGATAACTTCTGACCAGGAGAGTTTATAACCCATCATTACTCAATTCTCTTTCTGACTGAGGCTGATAAGACCTTAACAAGATGATATCTAAATCACTTTGTATGCATAAGTTCACATAAGTTTCCCAAAACTCATGGTGAACCAACTTATATCTTTATGGCACTTCTTTTAATATAAGCTCTACTTTTATGAATAGTTTAATTTTAATTTTTATGTAATTCATCTAAGGCAGACAAGAGGGCTGTGTTTTAGCCAAACATATGTATTGTTTCTCATTTTCTTTTTGAAGAAATGGTTAACATTAGTGGGTAGAAACCTTCTTCCTTTACACTTTAAAGATGTACCTCTGAACAAGGAACAGACTGTATTGGCACAAAAGCTAAATTACTAATAGCAAAAGTTGTTATTGTTCCCAATTTTAAAATCAGAAGCAAAAACAAGATTGGATAAATGTTATCCAAAATCAGTGATCAAGGTGATAGATGTTGAAGTCCAACAGAGCTTGGAGTCTTTTCCAAGTGGGAAAATGTCTTTCTTTAAATCTGTAGTAATTGAACAAAATTCCAGAACACATCAAACCAATTATGGGTTTTTTCCCATGACTCAATGCTGAATGGAAGACAATACCATCATTGTACATTGCATATGGTTGGATTTCAATATTTTATACATTTACCTGAAATTACATCTGAATAAATGTCCATAACAGTGCAATATCCATCACTATAGAGCTAAATCAATTGAATTGAAATGATGAGGGTAGTTGAAACTTAGTTGAATACACAAGAAACTTCATTCTAAGGTCAGTTCAACATGAGAATCAATTATCCAAAGACACAGTGCTCTCTGATTGAAGATCTAAGGTAGACAGTCACAGTCATGTTTTGTAACATGTCATGAATAACATGATAATATGTTAATATATGATAACAAGGTAATACATTATTTTCTGTTCTACTAGAAACTGAAAACTCAGGTAAACAAGCAGTCCACAACTCCAGATAGCTTCTCTCTTCCTCCTTTGAATTTGGGGAATGCTGAAACTGGCTATTTGACTCAGTCCAATCTCCTTGGCATTGCTGGACGCATGGGAGCTGAATGGAGAATCATTGGATTAAACCTGGGATTATCCTATCAGCAGTTGGAACGGATACAGTATAACAACAGGTGAGAAATGAAAAAAAATGAAATTAATTCAAGAAATATGACTTAGAGCAGTGATGGCTAACCTTTTTTGGATCGCGTGCCAAAAGCGGGGGGAGCACAGGCAGGGGGTCATGCACGGACATGCCCACACCCATAATGCTATGTGCGTGGCCCCCATGTGCATGCGTGCATGACCCCCTGCACACATTTGCACGCAGCCCCCTCCCTCCCCTCTGCTTTTGGCCTGTGATGGACCCTTTTTTCGCCCTCCCCGGGCTCTAGTTTTGTTGGATCTAGTCTTGGCCTCTTAATGAGCAGGTGAATCTCTGTAAGGACTTCTGTCATCTTCCCTCAAAAAATCATTGGCTACAGCTTGAGTCTACAAGATGCTCAGCAGGTTATCCCACCTCACAGAGGGAGACAACATGGGAGACATGCATGCAGTTGTTAACCAATCCTTGCAGGTTAATATTTCATGCATGTACAACCTGCGGGGTTTACATGCCCTGCATGAGCCCAATTATTATGGCTTCTTTATCCCTAGGATGCTGCTGGATTCAGCAAATGTTTAGGTTACACTACTAGCTTTGCCCTCATAAGGATGTTTTTCCTATTCAGATGACATTAAACTGGGTTGCTGCTGAAAATAATGAGGTCGTCTTTACTGCTTTTTTACATGTGACCATTTTATGCTGTTCAGTGTGTCTTGATAGTGAGATGGGCAGCATGTACATTAAACAAACAAATAAATAAATAAATCCTTATTATGTAACTAGATAGTACATTAAAAGATGTGATATTGCCACTTAAAGCAAAGAAGACTTTCATATGCGTGATACAAACCTATTTTTCTCTGTTGAGAAAACTGTTTTTTCCTCCTAGGGAAGATCTCCATACTCAAATTCTAGATATGCTCTTCTCCTGGGCTCAGCAAAATGAAAAGAAGCCTGACTGCATAGACAAGCTGATTAAGGCCATGCAGGATAGTGGCCGCCAAGACATAGCAGATGAGATCACCACCATTATTGGACTGGGAAGGCAAAAATATACAGAGTCTATTCAGAGGGTAGGCCTGCACCGGGAAAGTAGTACAGAAGATTCTGCTATTGTTACAGGATAATTGCTAGACAATTATGGATTAGTCAATAAAATAGGATTAATCAAATCCAGGCTATTTCTTCTTCAAGATTACTGTTACTGTCCAATTCTTCTCTTTAGTGTTTGCTGCCAACTAGCTATGTTTCTGTGCCACAGTGGCTTTTACTGGATACTGGTAAGCAGCCACTTGCAAATTCACCTGGGATAAGTTAGATTTCCAATTAAGTTTTACTAAAGTTTTACTTTTTTAAGGCAAAAATTATCTTAAAATACATAAGGCAGACCAGTGGACAATATGCTGCCTATGGAACAAAAAGGAGTTTATTTTTGGTTTGTTTGTTCCTTGTGGGTAGAACTTCTGAGTCTCCCAAGGTTTAAAGTGGCTCAAGTGGGCTGTCTTAAGGAGATGGAATCTCTGTCATGTTTTGTTACCTTGCAGCAGAATTTCTGAAACACAGTCAGGAACTAGGGCTCTGCTGGTGTGATTTAACACAGTGGTTTCCCATAATTTGTTTCATCCTTTTGGATGTTATTATCTATACTAAGAAAAGCTGGATTTTGGAACCTATAAAACAGAATCATTCTTTCACATTTTATTTTGCACCTAACCTAAAGTCAGGTATTTACAGGAAAAAAGGAAGAGCACTGAAGAATACTAAACCACAAGATATGCTTCTCAGCCCCACTTTGATCCTTCTAAAATGTTCCTTTAAAATAAATAAATACATAAATAAATAAAAACAAAAGCCTAGTAGACCATAAACAGATTGCACAATATCCTCTGACAAACATGTTGTAAATCACTGTATCTCTGGAGATACCTCTGTATCTCCACTTAATATATTAATGTCATGTTTTTGTTTGTGACTTAGCATGAACACTTAACCATTGTTACTTGTAAATTGTCATTTATGGTTTGGTATTATATATGATTCCACTAATTTTGGTTTACTCAGTAGGCCGTGGTTAAGGCAAATTATGTCAACCAAGGTAATGTGTCAGATCCAGGGCAAATTATGTAAGGTAGATCCACAACCATTTATCCTAAATAGCTAAGATATAATCATGGCTGTAGTCAAAGTTATCTGACTATTAGGACAATGTTGATTTCGGGTTATGTTTAAAAAAAAAGTTTCTGACTGCTTTGAGTCACTTTATCTGCTTTTAACTAGGTTTACTAAAGTTATTGCTAGAGTTTATTGCTTATAAAATGTAAGGATAAATTTAGTATTGTTCAATTTTGAAAAAAATAAATTACAACAGACTAACAGGGAAAATATATGTTGACACTGCTGCTGAAAGTTGACCATGATGTTGAAAACAGCTTTCTAATCCTTTTGTGTCACCACTCTCAGAAATGAGAAGGCAGCTGTCATATTTCTGTCCTTTTCCTTCTTACCCTTCAGCATTTGCTTTTCGGTTCTTGCCATCCTCTTTTCATCCCTCATTCTCTCAGGTTCAGCTGCCCTTTTAGTATCTGTTCTCATATAAAGTGAACAATTTTTATTGTTCTTTTTTAAAAAAATGGACAGTTTTAAACTATCCTAGAAATTGGAAATAATTTGATCATTGTTTCTGTAAGCCATCAAGCCAGTTCTGATCAAACTGACAAGGTGCTCCTTTTTACAGAAAGGTTGTCTTTGGTAAATGTATTTCTACTTTTTAATCATCATGTCCTGTCAGGAGGTTCAGGCTGCTACACTGTTTGACTGTGCTATTTTTTTAAAATTGTGCTTTTTAAAAAAATGTAAAGCTGTTTGATATTTTCTGCAGATGCTGATAAAAGTAAGTTTTTCCCCATTTGGAAAGCTGTGGTATTTTATTTGATGTTCGAGATGTCCATCTTTACAGTGGATTTATAAGAATTAAATAAGCTCTAACCAGGTGGATTTTTCTTGGTCCTGCTAGCCCTTCATCTCAGTTCTAACAAGACCTTAAGTCCTGTTACCCCTCCCCAGTAGGAATTGCCAGGGTGCTATTATTTCTGTATTCTTCAGGTAGTTGGCACATTTAAGAATGAAATGTTTCTATTTTAATCTGTCTTATTATTTATTCCTTCTCTGGCCCTGCCAAGAATAATTTCTTTAGAGATTAAAATTGTCTAACATCTCCCCGCCCCCACTTGTTTTGGTGTATGATTTTTACACTTGCCTGCATTAGGAAAATCTTCATTTGGTACTCCAATTTTGGAGAGGTTAAACGGGGCATATTGCCTTTATTTGTAATATGTAACATTTTGTTTATTCTTATGTAACCTAATAATGTAGTTGGCATAATGAAATCGGTCAAAGCTGTGTGTATTGTTGTTAACCTGTGACAAATAAAGATGGTGGCAGCCAGTACCAGCTGGCATGGCGAAGGTTGTAAAGTGATTTGCAAACTGCTTTCAAATTAAAATGTATACATTTTGTACCACAATCATTCTGTGCAAAGAAATAAATTCTTCAGCCTTTCTAAATAACGCATATATTCTGAATTTGTGTAACGTGTATCATTTATTCCTCCATTAATGTGTATGTGAATTCCTCTGCAGCTTTGCATATTTTCCTTTTTAGCTTACTAAACTTCAGAGGACAAAAGTGATTCTTAAATAAATTTTAATAAAATGTGTTAGTCTGAAAAAGCATACCACATTCCTGATTTTTAGCTATTATGGGGCTCAATAGATTTAAGACAAGAATGCTGGACTCATACACAGCTTGGCTTGCAGTAGGTGGCAGCAGTGCTGTTCCAAAAGTCTTGCCAAGAAAAGAGAACTCGGTTTGACTCAATCAGGTTTTTTTGGCCAGGACAAGGTGTCCGTCAACATGCAATGAAGAACGTGAAGTATTTTGGCACAGAGATAAGCATAGAGTTGATTATGTTACTGTAGTCCACTTTTTATGTAACAAGTGGAATTGTGCTTTGATGGCTGCTATAAAACAAGAGCAATCCAATTAATTGCCAATGGTTAATTAACCTTTTCAGTGCTGGGTAACTGTTGAAGCTGTAGAAACATTTTGAAGAAACATTATTTAAAATCATTTATAGGTCACAGATTCTGAAGAATAATATTTTGCAGTATAGACCACTACAATATGGATATCTTCTTCCAGTTGGAAAAAAGTATTTATTTCAAAGTTGGCCATAATAATTCAATTTTATTTTACTGAGAATATTTAAAAGCTAGTTCCCATGCTAGACTATGCACAAAGCAACAAAGTGTATTGGAAAATACTGCCCTTATCTGTGACCTTGAAATTGTTTCTCATGTGTTTTCAGGGCAGCATCTACCTTAATATTCTTGGTCATTTTGAGTTATTGATTTGCTGATGTCAACACATCTAAAGGGCTTTTTGGAAGCTGACTGGAATATTATAAAGTTTGAATAATATAAAGTTGGAGCTCTATTTTGATTTTGTTTTCATGCTTTAATGTATTCTTATATTACTATGTTTGGAAAATAAGTATAGGAATTTTATAAATATAGCAATATCACTTGGACTTATATATTGCTTCAGAGTGCTTTATAGCACTCTCTAAACCATGGGTGTCAAACTTGTGATGCCACATTGTCATTACGTGATGTATCATGACTTTTTCCCCCTTCGCTAAACCAGGGATGGGGGTGGCCAGCACGTGATGCATCCGACCCGCAGGCCACGAGTTTGACACCTCTGCTCTAAGTGGTATACAGAATCAGCATATTGCCCCCAACAATCTGGGTCCTCATTTTATCAACCTCAGAAGGATGAAAGGCTGAGTCAACCTTGATCTGGTGAGAATCAAACTGCTGGCAGTCGTCAGAGTTAGCCTACAATACTGCATTATAACCACTGTGCCACCACAGTTCCTTTATATAACCAAATATTGGTAAAAAATTGAGCTTTGAGGCAAAAAAAAAATATTCAGTCTTCACTCAACTGGGAATACAGATAATTCTTGACTTACAACAGTTCGTTTAGTGACTGTTCAAAGTTACAACGGCACTGAAAAATGTGACATGACCATTTTTCAAAGTTACAATCTTTGCAGAATCCCCATAATCCTGAGGTCAAAATTCAGATGTTTGGCAACTGGTTCATAATTATGACTGTTGTTGTGTCTCAAGGTAATGTGATAACCTGACAAACCAAGTCAATGGGAAAGCCAGATTCACTTAACAATCGGGGTACTAGCTTACCAACTGCAATGTATCAGCGTTCCAAATAGCATCCAAAAGTAAATCAGTCCAGGCAAAGTATTGCTCAAAGTTCCAATTTATTAAGAGAGCCATGTTGGCACATCTGGGAAAACCTGAATCTGAAAACTTCCAGGTTTTCCCCACCCAGTTGAAAGTTCAAGATCTTGCCCCACAAGCCCATCACATGGTTCAATCTTCCACCGCCATGCTGGCAGTTCCACCCATCCAGTTCTGGTCAGGTGCAGAGGTGCAAAGACAAAGGATGACCTTGGCTTTCTAGAAAGAATTTTGTTATGGCTACATGGCATCTAGCTCTGTACAATCCCCCCTCCCATTTTCCCACAATAAAAAATGCACAGTAGAATAATAGAAAGTGTGGCAGGCCAAAGATCCAAAAGAAAAGGTGGCTGCAGGCCTGACACAATGGTTTACTTAACGATGGCAAAAATGTGTTAAATTGGGGCAAAACTCAACAACAGACATTTTTGGTTCAATTGTGGTTGTAAGTCAAGGACTACCTGTACACATAACAGTATTGTTATAGAAATGGGTGCTGTTTATTTTATCTGTTTTTCCAAGCAAGGCCAGAGTTTGGTAGTATCTTTTATGTATTAGAGCTGGGCAGAGAGAGGATTTGCTATATTGCTTCAGATAACCCATGTTAAGTCAACACCATTATACTTTTCCAAATCTGATAACAAAAGTTTTTTCCTATCTTGAATTGGGTTCTTAAAACCAACATTTGGCACAAAGAGGAAATTTTGATATGAAAGGATTTGTGCGAGAGCTCTAGTACTGGTATCCTAAACAAATTCACGGACAGCTGATTTCTATTTTGAAATTGTAAAGAAAACCTCAGTTGAATCTGTCTCTTCCATCTCTCCTAGGACATGCTAGAACCTTTTACAAAGGTCTTTAAATATGTATTATAATATCTAATATCACCTCCCCCCAAATTTAGGTGACTTTGAACCAGTCACTCACTCTCAGCCAACCCAACTTATAAGAGAGAAAAAGAGAAGCCTTATAAAAGTAACAAAGGCAGGATAAAAACCAACAAAATACTGGTTCTGGAAGCTTTTGACATGCATTAGATCTTCAACTCAGAGATCAATTAGCTACAGAATTCTAGGATCTGCATTCCTAACAGATCTAAAGGACACAAGGATGAGGGAGACTATCCTATGGAATGGGAATTCTTAGCGTTAAGGCATTACCCAACAAATACATGGATCCACTGAATGCTTCCCCCATCTTTTTACCGCTTAATATATTGATTTAATCAAGTTCTTCAATAATTATCACTAAAATGCTTTGGGAGAAGCACATGTTGGTACACATCAGTGCTGGGAAAGAGGCACAATTACTAGATATTTTCTCCATTTTTATCTTGCTGTCACTTTTTTTTTGTATGACAGCTCTTTGTTCTAAAAGAAAAAAATACTTTGAAGAGGAAACCTTGGTAACAGTAAATGTTGGCTGAATATGATACTTTTCTCTTTTTTTTTTAACCAAACGAAGAAGTGAACCTCTTTGCTGCCAGCAGGATTAAAAGCTGCTTAAAACAGCATGGAGAAGGTATCTGAAATGCAAACAGTGCTACTCCCTACAAGACTTGAGTTCACTATTTGTTATTTCTTGATCAGCTGCAATCAAAGTAGCATAGCAGACATTTTTGTACTGCTTCAAATTGTTCACTGAAATACAACACCCCATGTTTTTATATTTGTATTGCTTTTTATAGGCCAGTTCTTCAATAGTTTATGATAATATATTTTAAATAATTATTATAAGTGATAAATATGAGTGTGTTAGTAAAAGGGGAGAGGAAAGGGAGGTGGAAGTTGTCAGAGTCCTAGTGTATTAGCACAGGAATTGCATTGGAAAGCTTTCCCCAGGGTAATAAATCAGCTTTCCCAAGCAATACATCAGTTTAATTTGACCTTCACTTGTGAAGCTGATCTTTCTTGCCTTCCCTCATCTGGTTCTCTAGACTGTATTGTCTTTCAATTCTCTAATCAGAGTCTGTACCACCATTACAGTGAAAGTTGTTGAAGTCCAATGCTGGATAACAGGGAATTTCGGAAACTTTTGGAAATCCTAATGTTTCTGAGGAGCTAGTCTGAATAATTAGTGTTTTATCACCAAAAAATTACATTTGGGAGATTGTAAATAGGATAAGTAACTTTAGGATTTCTGACCTTTAACCTTTAGAGCTTCACCTTGAATCTGGTGTTGTCAAATGTATAAAGAACAGCAGCCTAATTTTGTATTTGCATATTGTAAATGGGTACCTATCCTACCCATGCAGCTAAATTCCAAAACATGTTGCTGGTTGATAAAGGCTGTCATCCAAACAGGAAGAAGTAAGGATATTTTCCAACTCTGGAATGCCTTGAACAATAAGTAGTATAAATCAATCAAAACACATACTATTTCCGGAAGGTCCCTTAAAATTTTATGAGTTTCAATTAAGCCTACTTTATCCTGCTTCTCTTCCTTTATTAATATCTTATCTGCACATTGCTTATTTTGTGTGTTACTACAATGCATATGTGATAGAATGTGGGGAAAAATGTGTTGACTAATAAAGAATATTTGTAGCTCAGGGTTAAAATGAGGGGTCCTTGGTGGTCTCTGAATTTGTTTTCTTGCAAATGTTTCCTTATAGAACCAATGATGTTATCTAGTTCGAGTAATGAAATGTCTGCAAGAAAACAACCAAGCTCAGAGAACACCAAGGACCCCTCAATGTATTGACTTTCAGAACAATTTCTAGATTAGATATTATGGTTTTCATAGAACAGCATTAGAAAGCTTGAAATAAAATTGGGCTTTGGTTATACTTGTAGAATATTGACCAGAATGTGCCAAACCTACCATTTAACAAGAATGGCTGCTTATGACAGAGGTACAGTTAAGGCTAATAATTTAGTCAACATCCTTTCTATCTTACTAAAAAACTGTCATTTGAAACATGTAATTGGTGGTGGAGGCTGTTAT